TCAATCAGAGAACTAAATTACTGCTGCCTACGGTCCTTTATTTCTCAAACCCAGACTATGCTTTGCTAAAAGGAAAATTGGATCAAGTTAATTTTCACTGCAGAAGTGTCTCAAATGCTTAATTATTACCCTGCAAATATTCAGTGTAAGTCCTTTTCAGTCCTGCGAACACAAAAAGTCTCATTTAATTCACAGAAATGCAGAAGTGCCAACAAACTGCCACCATTAATTTCAACCTGCTTTGGGTACAGTTACAAGCTACTGAGTTCAGAGTCAAACTTTCCTAAAATTTGTAATGTTTGGTTTGGAATCACTCTTGCATTGTTTAGAGATTGTACTCACCAACTTGATGGCACCTAACGCTTGTCTATTACATCCCATTACTCCTTGTGGAAAGTAGGTTCTGAACACTAAGCCTTCTTTTCTTCTACTGTTTGAGGAATGTGTTATCTGCATGAAGAGAAAGCCTGCTCCCCATTTTCCTATAAACACACAGGGCTCTGCAAAACTTGTATCTTCTACTTTAGGAGTTTCTAAAGTCTGAATATTTCTCTATAAGCACCCTAGTGAACATGGAGCCTCAAGTCTGCCATGTCCAGCTTTTTGTTTTTATTTTCCTGGGGTATATCTGTGGCCATCAGGGGCAGGTGGTCCCCTGTCTTACTATGACAGATGGAAAAAGAGGTGGTTGGCTTGCCTCCTTCAAGGTCTTCAGACCAGGCTGGCTAACAAACATTGGCTGCTGAAGCTTCCCTGGGGAGAGAAGCTGCTGCATAGCTTTCCCTCAAGCTTCTGGCTCAAAACTATCAACACAAACAAGTATCTGGTAGATCATGCAGGTCTCCACAGGTTGCAGGGACTGACTCAAGAGGCTAAGGTAAATATATTCCTTGTAATGCAGAACCGAGGAGTTCTTGGTGACACAGGGGTATTTTGTACTCAATTTTGTATTCCAGAGTCATCTTTAGAGTCCCAAAACCCACCACTGCAACTATGCCTCAAGGAAAGTTTACAACTAGGCAGAGAAAAGAGGAATATGCTAAAGCCTTGCATCTCCTCCAGGCAGGATCCTGCAAAATCCTCACTGCCCTGACAGATTGGCACTGACAAGGTGAAATAACACTCACTAACTTCCTACATATTGCAGAGAGGCACCAGAGGAATGTGTAGATGGCATCACAGACGTTAGCTCAAACAGCAAGAAGCCAATATTAATCCAGTTGGCTTTGATTAGAGCTACAGAAGATCCCATTTTCAGAGTGCAGGAAGTTTTCCTATCCAAAAAGACTTAAGGGTGTCTTAAGTTACATAGTGACTTTATTGCAGGACTCCAGAAAAAACAAAAGATATGGTCTACTCAGTGTTAACCCTTAATAGCCAGAGTAGGTAAGAATTCACCAGTTTGACTGAAATCCACCAGTCTGTAACTAAGTTAAAAAGGCTACACTGAAGTAACCTTTAGTCTGACATTAAATAGCAATGTCCTTATGTTTTCTAAATGCCAATTTTCAAAATGAAATTCAACTCTGTTAAAAGAATGAGTTTCGGTGTTTTCCCTTACTTTAAAACAAGGGTGTACGGTTATTTGGAATAAGGAACAATCACTATTTAAACTCAGTTTTTGTGAATTAGTGAGAAGTGGAGTAATTTTTATGCTGCATTTCTTTATAACTTCTGAGGATATTTAGATGAGGGAATTGAGTGTACTATCAGCAAGTTTGCTGATGACACTAAGCTGGGAGGAGTGGCTGACACGCCAGAAGGCTGTGCTGCCATCCAACGAGACCTGGACAGGCTGGAGAGTCGGGCAGGGAATAACTTGATGAAATATAACAAGGGAAAGTGTAGAGTCCTGCATCTGGGCAGGAACAACCCCAGGTTCCAGTACAGGTTGGGGAATGACCTGTTAGAGAGCAGTGTAGGGGAGAGGGACCTGGGGGTCCTAGTGGACGACAGGATGACCATGAGCCAACACTGTGCCCTTGTGGCCAAGAAGGCCAATGGCATCCTGGGGTGTATTAGAAGGGCGGTGGTTAGTAGGTCGAGAGAGGTCCTCCTTCCCCTCTACTCTGCTCTGGTGAGACCGCATCTGGAATATTGTGTCCAGTTCTGGGCCCCTCAGTTCAAGAAGGACAGGGACCTGCTGGAGAGAGTCCAGTGCAGGGCAACGAAGATGATTAAGGGAGTGGAGCATCTCCCTTATGAGGAAAGACTGAGGGAGCTGGGTCTCTATAGTTTGGAGAAGAGGAGACTGAGGGGTGACCTTATAAGTGTCTATAAATATATAAAGGGGGAGTGTCACGAGGACGGAGCCAGGCTCTACTCAGTGGCAAACAATGATAGGACAAGGGGTAATGGGTACAAACTGGAACACAAGAGGTTCCACTTAAACTTGAGAAGAAACTTCTTCTCAGTGAGGGTGACGGAACACTGGAACAGGCTGCCCAGGGAGGTTGTGGAGTCTCCTTCCCTGGAGACATTCAAAACCCGCCTGGACGCATTCCTGTGTAACATTATCTAGGTGTTCCTGCTCCGGCAGGGGGATTGGACTAGATGATCTTTCGAGGTCCCTTCCAATCTCTAACATACTGTGATACTGTGATACTGTGTAATAGTTAGGGTTGGAAAGGACCTTAAGATCATCTAGTTCCATCCCCCCTGCCATGGGCAGGGACACCTAACGCTAAATCATATCACCCAAGGCCTCATCCAACCTGGTCTTCTAACATACTGTGATACTGTGATATTGTGATATTTACCATAAAATATTCTCTGCCTCATCCGTCCCTTACTGTAACAGCTTTCAGTATGCAGTTGCTGCCTGTCAGCTATTGCTCCAAACAAATACAGCATGGTGCCAAAATATTACTGCAAGCGTTAGCTATGCACTGTCCAAAAAAGTGTGCAGTAGTGACATTTATATATGTTTCTTTTTAATAGGATGTGCAGCACTATGTTTTTTTGTTGCTTATATGGTATGTACAACAGAAAAGAATTTGACAGACTTTTATATTATTTGTTCATATACCTCTGTTTACTTATTGGAAAAATACGTATCTGTGTGTTCTGACACACAGCATCTTCATTAACCTGTAGGTCACCGAGTGAGCCAGGCCCAGTGCACTTGCCATCTACAAAATTAGCAGTTAAATGCCTAGAAATATCACTTCAGTTTGCACTAAAAAAAATGAAGCCTATACCACTCCCTAGACAGAAAGCAGTAAATACACAAAACCGTAAAAACAATGGGAAATCCAAAATCGAAATCACTGCTTCTCCTTACGCAGAGATCAAGAGATCACGATCAGCCATAGGGACTTCCTTCAGATTATAGAAAAGCAGTAAAAAGGAAGAATGCCAGAGGTCTCCAGGGTGCCTCACATCCATGGGATCAGACACACATGCTGTGGGAGGCATCGCTTTTAAGTTCAGCAGTTACAGGAGATGGGTTATGAGGAGTGCCCTGCTCCTTGTATGATCAAAGTCTGAGCATTCACAGTATGTTCCTTCCCATGGATCTCTCCCTAGACAGCCCACAGACAGCACCAGCACTTCCCAGAAGCCAGCAGGATTCATCTAGAGGGGTAAAAACTGAAAGCCCTATTGCCGGAAAAAAGATCTGAGAAGTTTTTGGTTTCTTTAACCAGGAAGAGGGAAGAACATACGATGAGATTGTAAGTATCATGTATGTATTCAAGATAAAAGAGTAATTATTAGTCACACTTAAATGTGAATATATATTCACATCTACTTCACGACTGAAAAGAAGTGATTTATTTTCTCTTAGTCTTTATAAGGGCATCAACAGTAATATTTCCAACTAGCCTACACCAGGTGGGGGTTTTTTTTCAAATTTTTCATTGCAAGCCAGGACTAAATTAGAGCTCTGCTCAAACCAGTATGTTATTCCCTTTGTCAGATCCCAAGACCTCCCCTCCGTATTAGCACCTTTTTTCTCCTGACTCCCAGCCCTTTGCAGCTGGGCTTCTTCCTCCCTCCCTGGCAACTACCTCCTTTCCTCTTCCTCAGGTGCTCAGGCAAGTTACAAGCAGTCACAAACGGGAGATACAAAACTTTGCCTTGACAATTGCTTCTTAATGCAAAGCATAATCACTAGAAGCTTGAAAGTGTAATTGCTAAACAAACTGTTGGACCTTCAGTCTGTTTTGATGAAGACAGTGAATAAATTTTGTTTCAAATGTTACAGGGAGTAGTTTGTGAAGTACACAAGGACACATTGACAGCTCCCTGTGTCTGAACACTGCAGTCAACACAGCATCCACACTGAATGCAACAGGGCCCAAGTCTAAGTGTTCTCTGGTTTTTCTTTTATTTTATTGTTTACACACTGGCTAATGGCTCTGCATCAGTATAAAAAACCTATCAGGTGAAAACAACCCCACACAACAGGATCCCGATGTTTTTTTTTCCTTTTTATATTTGCCCTCCTTTATTTACAACAGTGGCAAAATAACTTCAATCAAAATGAGGTTAAGATTATTTTTAACAGATGTTCACTGCTGGCCTGACCCAAAATCCATTGACGTCAATGAGAAGACTCCATGGGGCTTTGGATTGGGTTCTAATTGTTGGAAAAATTAATGTTATTGTAAACCACTGGTCAGTGCTGTCACATGCTCCCCTTCTGTGCCAATTCTATATGACCGGATAACAGACTCACATAAATCTGTTCCAACTGTTGGCTTAGAGGCTAAGGGACGCAGAGATTTATCTTTTTAATTCTGAAGCACCCCCTGTTCCCCCAGCAAACCCCATGGCACCACTGTATTTACTTGACAGACTCAGCATTATGGACAGTTATTTGTACAATCAGAACCTTTCACAAACACTGAGTGGGAATAATAGAATTATTAATGCTGACTATGTGAAGACAGCTGAACTACAGATATGTATGAGACGAGATACTTTGGTTCCTATACTTTCAATAGATTTATTTTACTTTATTTTTAATACAGAGCTGAAGGAAGGGTTACACTTACTGTTAAGAAGACGGAAGTCTATAAACGGGTAGGAGCCACGGCGCTCGGAGAGAACCCCTGTCTGACCTCTCACCCGTGCATCTCCTGCAAAACACAAAATCCCCAGAGACATTAGAAGGAGCAGCTGCCTTTCTTTGCTGTTTAGATCTAGATCTATTTTCTATTCAAAGTGATGACATTATGCTCCTCCAGTGGGAAAACTAGGGTGCAAAAAATCATCTCCCATGACATCCCTGGGTAATTGGGTAAAGCAGTATAGCTGGTCCTCTTATCAGAACAAAAGCACAACACCCCTCCCCACTTTTATCTTATTTCCAGCTTCTTGCCCAGTAAGTAGACATGCAGGAGTAGCACAGAGGTCTGTTTTTTTTTTGCCCAGACAAGACCAGTTGGGTTCTGACTGTCATGGCATTACTCACAAAAGGCTCACTGCACAACTGACTTCCAAAGGTGTGGGGCTGGTCTCAAAATCATGAGTTGATGAAAAAAATCAAAAAGAAAATACGAGTATTTTTTTAAGGTGGCATTTTGTTTGTGCTTGTTTGACTGTATTTGTTTTACTTTCTGCTCTTTGAGCACACTGGAAAACATCAGCCATCTCAAACACTGAAGCTTCTTTATGTAAGTGAAACCTGATGTTCTCAGATAAGCATTACTCCAGTGCTTTAGGATTTATATTTAAATATGATAAAAGAACAACATAATACTATCACTGTGTAATTCACATTGATTATTTCTCGAATTAACATGTAATATTGATGAAATAGGCAAAACTTGTTTCAGAAGAAAATGCTACTCAGGATAGTAAGAGTTAAAAAACCTCTCTCCAAGTAGATAGGAAGTAGTAGGAAGCAGATGTAATTTTTACGTTTCCATAACCTTAAATATCTTGTACTATAATGTAATAGTTTCTTTACAGGCTAATAACAAAAATAAATATTAAAATTTCTAAAATAAGGTTTTATAGGTTCAGATTAGAGTACTCTAGTTCTTCACAATACCAGTACCTCCTCTACAGAAACATGGGCCATAGTGTAGAAAGCATACCCACTGCACTTCCTCAGACAGCTTATGCTGTAGGACTCTCAAAAATTGCAATAAAATTATGAATTATTAGTTAGCTTCAGTTGTGCTTCCTCTGGGATATGAATATAGCATCTGACTAATCTAAACAAAGATAATTTAAGAATTTGGCTTCTAGTGCTAACTCTTGCTGCTTGTGTTTAAAAACAAGAAAACATCTTGCAGTGCAAAAGAAGGACCTAGTTAGATGCTGTTGTTTTTTTCTATCTAACATTCACTTAAAATGTGCTTACAATTATGTTTAAGGGAAGAAAGCCAAGTAGAACTATTAAGTTAAATATTCGAGGTGGAGAAAAACTTCCGTGCCCTCTAGGGGTCCTTAGAGGTACAAAAGACACAGAAGCATGCTCTCCAATTAAGAATATTTCAAACACTGTCACTTTTGATTATAAATATCAATCTGTTTTCTCTCATCCTGACTTTCGCTTTGTTACTTTGAACACGTGTTCACTCTACTCTGCTCCCACTTGGTAACTGCTCGCTCCAAGGAACCAGCCCGAAAGAACTCAAGCTGTTGTTAACCCCACTTACCCCTCCTGATAGCAGGGGCAGGAGGTGCAAACCTCTGCCTGCTCTTCAGCTGTTGCAGTTCAAAGGTATGGTAATAGCATGGGTCTACCTTCATCAGCAGCTTAAAATCATGTGCAACTTGTGGCAATGGTGGTATATACATCTACTCCCCTGCACTCCTTCTGCTGAAGGGCAGAAGGGTGGAGCAAATAGCTGGAGAGTTTGTAAAACACCAAAGCAAGATTCATCAGCACCCATGAGTCAGAGCTCAAAAGGCAGCACCTGGACTTAAAAGCATTGCTCTCTGCCACAGGTAGACCATCAGATTGGCTGACTCGTGCAGAAAGAGTAAGAATGGCAAGCATATGGTACGTGTTATATAAACTCCAAAAAATCAGACAGGCTTGAGCCTGTCACTAATACAAGCACCAGCAAATTAAGAATGGGTGTAAATTCAAGAGCATGCTTTGATCAAGGCTTTTGTTTTTCTGCATGCACCAATGAATTAACATGAAACTGCAAGTAATCCCTTGCAAGTAATCCCGCTGATCAACATGTCACTCGTGACTAAATCAACAGATCCTTCACAAAAAAAGAGAGAAATTCAAACTTCCAAAAATCTGACACACCCCCACCCCACCCCTCCCCCAAAGATGTAAGATACTGTAAACCGGGAAAGATTGATTTTCTTCCTGGACATGAAATAATGTATCTATCAGATCAAGAAAAGTACCATAGTACTACAGAAGAACAAAATCATACAAAGTTACATATAAAGGTAATGCCCAACTCTGATCTTAATAGCATGATCCCAAATTTTGAGGAAGAGAACGCTAAAGATAGGTAGACAACTGCAACACAGAGGAAAACACAGTATGAGCTTACCAAAAGTAGACGATGCAAGATAAAACTTGATACTTACCTCGAATAAAGTAGCTAACGATTAGACAACAGCAAAAAAATCAACAGTGTAGTGCATTTCAATCATAAGGGCTTTATTAAACATATAAGGCAAGAGATAAGCACAAAAACTGAAGTGGGAAAAGACTGTAAGAAGATAATGTGGTACATTGAAAGGAAACCTTGCTTGGTAACAGCTACTGCGTGATCTTTAGAAGACTGATATCGGGAATGGTCTTAAAATTTTTATTGATGATCTTGACACAGAATTAGGAGAGCACAAGTGAGACAAAGCTGGAGATACCAGGTATATGCAGCTACAAAGTTCACTGCAGCTGTCCCCTTCTGTGCCTCAACTGCTCTATGGCTAGTGCAGCTATGTGTGGCTATGGGCAGCTTCCACTTTCATTTTACTGGTAGTCTAGCTTCCTCTCGTGGTGCTGCTGATGTCTCCTACAGAACTAAAGACTAGCCAACTCGGACAGGCATGTACATTATTCAGGTAAAGTAATTCCAGAGGGAAAGTAAGGGAGGTATTGATGCCATTAGTCAAAGCACTTGGTGTAAGTTCAGCTGAAATACTGCCTCTGAGGAAGCTGAATTCCTCCTGGAAAAAAAATGAAGAGAAGGACCTCTAGGAAGAGGCACTAGAGAGCCATTTCATAAAAGGAAAATCAACCTGGAGTAATGCCCACCATTGATAAGGAGCAGAATGGGAAAAGAACCATTTAGGTGATGAGAAAAATATGATCCCAAAGGAGGAGATAAAAGCAGTTGAAGCAGCTGATGGCATGGGCTTTATACATACAGAAAAATGGACTAAAATAGTTAAGGACTATGCATGACAATTGCTAAACTTGCTACCAGCTATATGTTCTTCAAACTAAGAAAATGTGACTCAGTTTTACTAAACCAGCAAACCAAGGACTTGATGTCATGTAAAATTACTGATGATTCTGACTGGCTATTTGTGTTATTTCACATTTTTTACAGACAATAACATACTCGTCTGTCTCTATCACTATGAGAAACTATATGCACAATAAATCTGCATCCCTACTGCCTAGGTAAAAGCCTGTAAAATCCTTATATTCAAGGATTATTAATTTTACCCTCAGGGAAGGCAAGTTTCTGCTGAGTCAAAGATGTTATCAAGTAGCTCTACCTCATGAATCTGTTATTTCAAAATCCTTCGCCAGGTGCCACCTAGTCTCTTTCTACATCATTAGAAAAAGATTAGTTAGGAAGTAGTGGTGGACTAAATCAACCACACCTGCCCTCCATGCTTTCTTGGCTTTTACTTGGATAACATTTATATTCTTCCCTATTACTTTTAATTACCTCTAAGTACACTCAGCGAAGATACTAAATATAGGGATCACACCAGATGTACACTGTATCGCATGACTTTTAATTTCCAAAGGCAAGGGCTGTTCACAGCAACACACCAGACTTTCTGTTTTGGTTTGACAGAGGACTTTCAGGGCAACCTTGATCAGTCCACCAGGCCTTTACATCTCCTCGCTCTCCACCTTAAAATTAAGCTGAACAATTGTTCTGACAATTTAGGCAATTAGCAGTTTTAGATAAATAATCCTTTTTGGAGTGAAAGGAAGGATTCTGTGGAAACGGGGCAGGAAATTTTGACAGCTCATTGTGTTCCCAAGTGAAACAAGCAGGGTGAAGGGAAATGGCAAGGGTAGGTTCTCCTTTGCTTCTCTGGGCTGAAGATGTGAGGCTTGAACATTTTGCAGGAACAAGCACGAAGGGCTGCACCCCTGCCAGAGACTACTTGCCATGAGAGCTTCCAGCAGGGAGACATCCCAGGGGCCACTAAAGCTCTTGATTTTTACTTTGTCCTTGTTAAAACAGACAAAAACCCTAGACCCAACAAACCAAAGCAACCTACATTAGGTAACAGGAGCCTGTGGGGCACATGCTGTGACTGACATGCACGACAACCTATACACAGGAAAATCAGATACAGGGCAAGACCCATGGTACCACTGTGGCCATAGCCTCAGCATGATTTCAAGATGGGCAGAAGGGTTAAAAAAAAAAGGCAGCTCTTAGCTGCCTGCCACGTCTGGAGGAAAGAGCCATCTGCACCGAGGAAAACAACTTCTCCAAAACTTGTGGGATTCAATTTCAATGAGCAAGCACAACAAATTAGAAGAGAAAACAGGGCCATAGCTGTGACAAAACAACAGAGCAGCTTCATGCAGCAGAAGTTAGGACCAGCCACCAAATTACTGATTTTATTTAGTACACAGCTCCATGTGATAAGCCAGTAATACCACAGCAAATTCTCAAGAGGCTACAAGTGTTTATTCTGCTCAAGCTTCACAATTTTCATCCAAATAAGCTGTTTTAGGACACATACTGCAGTGGTCCCTGGCTCCTTCACTATTTCAGTTATGGAAAGGCTTGGGATTTCTGAGATGAAGGAAAATGAGTTGCTGATGCTTTAAGCATCATTCTGGTTTTGGCGGAAAGCTTTCAAAAAGAGGGAAGTGTTGCTGTGTAAAAGTTACCAAACTCAGATGAAAAGTTAGGTTAAAACCAAGTAGCACAATTACTGGAATTATTTT